GCAGACATCACCCCTGGTAAGTAATAAAGAGTAATTATGGCTTAAATGCTATGGGTGTCTGGAAAAACAATACATGTAACATGCAGAAAATATTAAAATTCACCTTTTCTTTCTCACAGCAGCAGCAGCATCCACTGCTGCACCAGCAGACATCACCCCTGGTAAGTAATAAAGAATAACTATGGCCTACATGCTATGGGTGTCAGGGGAAAAAAATACATGTAACATGCAGAAAATATTTAAATTCATCTTTTCTTTTTCACAGCAGCAGCATCCACTGCTGCACCAGCAGACATCACCCCTGGTAAGTAGTAAAGAGAACTATGGCTTAAATGCTATGGTTGTTGGGGGAAAAAAATACATGTAACATGCAGAAAATATTTAAATTCATCTTTTCTTTCTCACAGCAGCAGCATCCACTGCTGCACCAGCAGACATCACCCCTGGTAAGTAATAAAGAGTAACTATGGCTTAATAGCTATGGGTGTTGGGGGAAAAAATACATGTAACATGCAGAAAATATTTAAATTCATCTTTTCCTTCTCACAGCAGCAGCAGCAGCATCCACTGCTGCACCAGCAGACATCACCCCTGGTAAGTAATAAAGAGTAACTATGGCTTAAATGCTATGGGTGTCTGGAAAAAAAATACATGTAACATGCAGAAAATATTTAAATTAATCTTTTCTTTCTCACAGCAGCAGCAGCGGCATCCACTGCTGCACCAGCAGACATCACCCCTGGTAAGTAATAAAGAGTAACTATGGCCTACATGCTATGGGTGTCAGGGGAAAACAATACATGTAACATGCAGAAAATATTTAAATTCATCTTTTCTTTTTCACAGCAGCAGCAGCATCCACTGCTGCAGCAGCAGACATCACCCCTGGTAAGTAATAAAGAGTATGGCTTAAATGCTATGGGTGTCTGGAAAAAAATACATGTAACATGCAGAAAATATTTAAATTCATCTTTTCTTTTTCACAGCAGCAGCAGCATCCACTGTTGTACCAGCAGACATCACCCCTGGTAAGTAATAAAGAGTAACTATGGCCTACATGCTATGGGTGTCTGGAAAAAGAATACATGTGACATGCAGAAAATATTAAAATTCAATTTTTCTTTCTCACAGCAGCAGCATCCACTGCTGCATCAGCAGACACTACCACCTGTAAGTAATGAAATGCTGCTCTGGTTTCCATGTTGAGCTGTCTGCCATGCTCTGATCATGTATTGACTGCCTCCCTGCCTCCATAACAATATAATCTCATCAGTTAGAATTGGAGATAGTCCCACCTGCCTTTCCTTTGGCTTCCAGATTATAATAAAGGAGTAAAAGGGAAAGGGGAAACAGAGAAAAACTGGCCCTGATGAAAGCATTGGGATGGGGTGTGACAGTGTTCACAGGGGTTTTTGGATGAGGGGAGAGACAAGAATGTTGACTTTATGTTCAGAAGGCTTGATTTATTATTTTATTATATACATATAACATTATAACTATACTAAAAAGAATAGAAGGAAAGGTTTCCTCTTAAGGCTAGCTAAGAATAGAAAAGAATGAATAACAAAGATCTGTGGCTCAGACAGAGAGTCTCAGCTATCTGGTCAGTGGTTGGCTGTTAATTGTAAACATTCAAGATTGCCCAATCAAAAATCTACCTGATGCATACTACAGCAGCAGATAACCATTGTTTACATTTTGTTTCTGAGGCCTCTCAGCTTCTCAGAATGGAAAAAATCCCAAGAAAGGATTTTTAGTGAAAAGACGTCTGTGACAATGGGGCAGGCACCCTACACCAATACAAACTCAGATTTGCACCTGGTCGTCCCATTCCCAGAAAATTATCCTTCCTGCACCTCCCAGAGCTGCATCCCAATCCCTGCACACTCTGGGATGTATTTGCCATGGGAGTGGGCAGCTTCAGGAACCCCCAGCCCTCGCCAGCACACGGCACTGGGCAGACACTGCATGTCAGAATCTTTATCCCAGCCCCAAACTGCACATCAGAATCTTTATCCCAGCCCCAAACTGCACATCAGAATCTTTTTCCCAGCCCCAAACTGGTGTTCAGCAAACAGCCCAGGCTCCCAGAGCTGTGCCATGGTCAGGGATGGGTTTTCCTCCCACTCTGGAACATTGTCCAGCCCTTAAGTGAGACCTTGAGTCTCCTGAGGTTTGGGTATCTCTCACCTGCCCAATGCTGGGAAAGCAGTTTTTAACCTGCAGTTTTGTTTTCTCTCATGTCTCTGATCAGCACCTGCAGAAGACACAACACCTGGAGCAGCAGGTGTGTATGACTTCAGTGCATTGGTCAGAATTTCAGGATCAAGCATCAGCTTGAGTGAAATCCTGCTCCACTCCCCCTTGCCAGCCCTGGCTTTGCCCCCACAATCATGGAACAGACACTGAAGGGTGGTTTTGTTTTCTCTTTGACAGCCACAGCTGAGCCCACCGCAGCTGAAATCCCAGGTATTTATTTCTGGTCCTTCCTGCAGCTGTGGGGAGCACTGCACTGTATTTCATGTGGGTCATCCATGTATTAGAACATATACAATGTTTAATTTTCTCTCTTCTCACAGAGACAGCCTCACCTGCTGCATCAGTCCCTCCACCTCCTGAAACAGCAGCCATTGTCACTGGTAAATGAAGCACACTTACCCTGCTTTATACCCTTAATTCCCCACCAAAGCTGGGATCTGAGATGTGCTGGCAAGGCTCCCTGTCTCCATGTATCATCTCATGGAATTAATATTGAAATTTGGGGATAATTTCTTTGGCTTCCATAAAAATTGAGGAACCTGAATTGTTGGTATTGATATGGGAGTTTGATATTGCTCTGCTACAAGTTCTAAGGAACTGGAATTCACTGAGGCAGACATACCACACCAACATAAATTCAGATTTCCTCCAGATCACCTCACTCCTACAAAGCCAGCCCCCCTGTATTCCAAATCTGCATCCCCACTGGAAGTTGAGGCAGTGGGAATCCTTTTGACATATTCAGTGGTATTTGCTTTGAACCTTAGTTTTCCACAGTGGGCTTTGTCTTTTGAAAAAAGTGAATTGCAAATTCTGCTCCCTAGTTGATAATGCTCTGCCCCAGCTGCTCACAGAGCAGAGCCAGGGTTTATTTTAGAGTCTGCCCATAGCAGCCACACTTTGATAAAAGGCACTTGGCTGCTTTGGTAAAACACACACAAGAAACTGAACTTCAGGTGCCAAGCAGACGTTTGAGCATGGGGTTATTGCCTCACACAGAGGGATAAACAGAATTAAATCTGGTTCCCATTAATGCCAGTAATATGTCACATGTAGTACCCAAGCCCCCACACTTTCCTTAGTACGAAACCTTTGTCCATGACAATTCTATTCCCCAGAACTGCTGCTAATAATATTCCCTAGTCCCAATGTGTTCTGCTCATTACAATGTCTATTAACTGATGGCCTAAAAGCACATCTTTTCCTCAATCAGCTCACTTTTTAACCTTTTTTATTTTCATTTAAAGCCAATCCACAGACAAACGCAGCAACTACAGGCTCAGGTATTTGATTCTTTCTTCTTTTTGATGACTTCTCTTCCTAAGGGCAGGATGCCCTGGGTGAGAGATGTGAGCTGGGAAGGGCTGGCAGAGCTGGGAGTTCATTGGCAGAGGGGATCTGAGTGCAGGGGATGCGGGAGAGGCTGGATGCAGGCACAGGGATTGGGAATGCCACAGCTCAGCCAGGGATCACACACTGCTTAGACAGGGCTGGCAGCAGAACCATCCTCAGTGGTGAGTGCCAAGGGGATGAGCTGGCCCAGGTCTGCATCGTTTATGGTCACAAACCATTTGAGATGTTCTCCCATAGCCTGCCAGCTCTGCCCACCCCGTGCCCTGTGCTCTGGAGGGCTCACAGGCAGAGACTTCTCATGATCCTGGCAAGTTCCCCCTCTTCCAGGAGAGAACAACACCAAGGAGTTACCTCGGGGTTAGCTGTTAGTTGTAGGAGGGAGAAATGAGCTTTTTGTGGGACACCATCAAAGAGAGAGAAATTATTTCCTCCCCACTCAGCTGCCATTCCAGGCCCACATTTAAATAAGCAAAGCAGGCCAGTATTTAAAATACATATATAGTAAAAAAATATGCAGTAAAATACCTGCTGCATTCTGCTCTGTGTTTACCTCTGGTTTCTCAACATTCAATTCCTTCCCCTGCAGAAGAGCTCGTTCCCCTGCCTAACTATGTGAAGCTGTTGTTGCTGAAATACCTAAACCGCCTGTGCCAGCCAAGGAGACCTGGGATGCCAGAAGTAATACTGGAAGGGTAAATATTTATTCATGCATGAATAAATGTTATTTATTCATGTGAGATTCCCCAGCCAAGCTGGGATACCCCAAAGATGATTTCACACCATTTTGTTACACCCTTCAAGTGCTCAGCTACAACTTGATTTGACTACTCACTCATACCCATACTTCCAATTACTAATCATACTAAAATTTTGCAAAACACCACTATTTCTTGGAAACAGACAAACATTCTTGGTGCATGTCTGTTGATCCAAATGTCCCAGGAGCCATTCTTGCTGGAGTCACTGATTTATGGCACCAGATGATGCTGGCAGGGATTCAAAGACACGTCAGAGGGGCTGGGATGCTGCCCAGGGGAATCCTTCATGGACAGCTCTAAGCTTCCAGAAATTCAAATTCCGTCTTTCCATGGCTGTCCTTTAGTTTGTTTTAATTCAACATGAGCCATAGCAGAGTGTGCAGTAAAATTCCACTACCTCATCACTGTACAGTTTGTAATGTGATTTAATATGTATTGACAAAATTCCATGAGGTGTGGCATTACATTTGTATGTGTTGCGGTGCGCATTGCACCAACAGACATCCAAATTCCATGCAGTGGCATGGAAAGGAATGAACAGGGGCTCAGTGCTGGGAGTTGTGATTAACATCACTGCTGGACATTTGTGGGAGAAAGTTTCTTGCAAGCGAGGAAACAAACTTAGTGAGCATGCCACAGTCATGACAAAATCAATATGTGGCATTGTTTTTTTTTTCCCTTTTTCAGGTGTGTAAAGGATCCAACCTGTGGGAATCAGCCTTCACCAGGCCAGAGGCTCATCCAGCTCCGTTATGGGGCTGCTGTAAACCCCAGACTCTGCCTGAGGTGCAAAGTATCAGGGTGCAATGCATCCCCTCCTCCTCCTCCTGTCAGACCATTCCCAGGGAACAGGTTCCCTCCTGTCAGACCATTCCCAGGGAACAGGCTCCCTCCTGTCAGACCATTCCCAGGGAACAGGCTCCCTCCTGTCAGACCCTTCCCAGTGAACAGGTTCCCTCCTGTCAGACCTTTCCCACGGAACAGGCTCCCTCCTCCCAGACCCATCCCATGGAACAGGAGAAGAGCCAGGAGAAGCGCAAGCGATGTCGTTATTGTCATCGTCTCCTAGTAATGATGCTTCTGACCATGACATTATGTTGAGCACCTCTAGACCTGTTCATTGTGTTCCAGATCTGCTGCTCATTTCTAAAAATATGCTAGTGGGTGTAAATCTAAAGGTATTTCATCTTAAATGAACTTGGGTTGCTTAAATTCAGATCTTTCGAATCTATGCGGCGGATCTTGTAAAAGCCTGAACTTCAATAAATACTCTCAGTGACAAAAAATAATTGGATCGACTGCCTGTTTTTTCTCAAGATTTTGTTTCCTTCTCAATGTCCCTTCAGTTCTAATCATGCTCAGTTCACACAAAACTCCACCACAGTCCTTAACCTATGTTAAGTTAACCTGTGCTCTGCTTCTCACAGGTATTGATTTAAAGGGCATTGGGTTCTGGAGCACTGACTGGCAGGGATCCACAGGCCAGCTCACACATTCACTGCAGAGTCACATCCAGGCACAAAAGGGATGTTAACATCTGAAAATTCCTTGCAAGTACGTGTGTGGGTTTGAGAAATAAAAGGCTACACAGGATAAATGCAAATTTAGCATTTCCAGAAGCCAAAGGGAATTCAAATGCTGAGCACCATCCTTAAACATGTATTTAGTGCCTCCACACTCAAAGGCAGTGTAAGTACATTTCACAATGAAGAATGTTAAATTTAGATTAAAGTTTAGATTAAATTTAAGTTGAATTTAACTTTGAAAAGTGATGGCAAAGGTGACATTATGGGACTTTACTTTTACTTCCAGACCTCTATGAAACGTACTCAGCTTGCAAGATCAAAATCCTTAAAGTGAGTTAAAAATCAGAGAGAGTTGTTTTAAAGAAGTCATAGGTCTGAGATTAGAAATACAGTATCATTACAAATGCATTATATACCAGTTTGCTTATAAAAGAAAACGGTTTTGTGAAAAAAAAATTACAGTGGAAGAAAAGCAACTGGCTATGTTTCAAGAAAGTCTTGACTTTATTTTCTAGTAAAGTTGGAAGAAGCCCTGTTTGCACAGCTGTGGGGTTTGTGCTGCCCTCAGCAGCTCCTGGGGAGCCCTGGCTGCTCCCACCCCAGGTCCCAGCCTGAGCCAAGGCCAGGTACCAGCACACCTGGGCCCCTGGCACAGCCTCAGCCATCTAGGGACTGGGGGCTCTCTGCTGCTCTGGGAAACACTCTGCAATACTCTGGCATTTTTCCAGAGCTTTGGTCCTTATGAGACAAAATAGGGTTAATATATTGGAACAGGTAATTTGTGCTGAAAGGAATTCAAGCTTTCAGGGTTGTGTTTGCTTCCTTGCCTCAGGAAGGAAAGGCTGATTCCTTTTTCCTTCTCTAGCTCCTAGTGTGGGGCTAAGAAAGTCCTGTCTGCAAAGTGGTTGCAGTGCAATCTTCTCCTTTTAATCTGTGACAATCTGATCTTGCTCATCCCTGGGTGTTTCAGCAATATATTCATGACAACTCTTTTACAGCAGCTGCTGCAATCCCCAGCAAGGATGGGGAAAATCTGCCCTGTGTAACCTAAAGGGAGAGGTGTCAAAATGAAGGTGGGAGAAACCAAACTCTGCTGAGCAGTGCTGAGAGAAAACTGCAAATGTGCCTCCCAAGGGAGTCTGTCAATCCCTCCCACAACATTTCTGCTCATGCCAACACCCTCAAACAGCCTCTCCATGAAATCCACTGGAAAATGTGCTTTGAGAGCTGACAAAAGTACTTTAAACTTACTCCACACCGTGCCTGTTTAAAAAAATGGGCCCACCTGTTACTTTCTCATTTATATCTGTTAAAAAGAAACACTGACTGACAGATTAAACCCTCCCTCTTGGTACCACAGGGTGGTTGTGAAATAGCAGCAGGTATAAAAGCCAGCAAAGCCAAAGCCTGCCCTCCCCAGCTGCCCTCAAAATGCAGCTGCTCTGGCAGTTCCTCCTCCTGCCCCTCTTCACTGCCCTGGCTCTCTCTGAAAGCAGCTCAGTAGAATTCACAGGTATGGAAATCTGTTTATCTGTGATATTTTATTGATTTCTGCACAACCGGTCTCACATAGGCAACTGAAGGGCAAAATGTTAAACATCTCTGAAAGTGAATCTTATTTTAATGGGCTGATGGCATGATAGTGACACCTGAACGTGACTAAAAATGGTAAATAATAAAAATATTCTATACATTCCACCCTATGGCAGTTACTTTATTTTAAGAACTTGATTTTGAAGCAGTTTTACTCTGGAACGTAAATTTGCTTTTATAAATTAACACTGTACTGGAATAACAGAAATCAGGAGACTAACTGGGAAATGTTAGCTTTTTGACAGAGATTTGTTTATTTTTCCTTTGTTCAATCAGAAGCAATAAAGAGCTGTTTGCTGCTCAGATCAGCAATGTGGCTGATTAAAGGAGGGTGGCTGTTGCAGGATAATGAAATATTGCAGCAGAGCTGCTCCACTGGTGTCTGACCCCAGAGAGTGCAGAGGGCAGGACTGACCTGTAATGCTCTCACAGAGAGGAGGTTTCATTTGTGATGGAAAAAGTCTCTCCTCAACCTTTCTATTCCCTCTGGAGTCCATCAGAAAGCCTGACTTTATTTTCTGGGGCTGCATGCACTCTACAGAAAATTCTTCTGACTGCTTTAGACCATTATTTTTATATATAACATTAAATATAATTATATAATTAAATATAATTATATAATTATGTTATGTTTAATATTAAATATAATATATATTTAATATTATATTTAATTATAATATTATGTATCTATATAATACATATCTATATAATTATATAATATATAATGCACATTATATATTTAATATCATCTTTAATAATACTATTATATATTTATATAATACATATTTATATATTATACATTATACATTATACATTATATATTATATATTATATATTATATATTATATATTATATATTATATATTATATATTATATATTATATATTATATTTGATTGTAATATTATTTAATTATAAATTATTTAATTATTATTTAATATAATAATTAAATAAATACTGTTTATATATAAATGAATATATAATTAAATATAATTCTATTAAAGTTGAAAGGAGATCTTATGCTTAGAGTGGATTACAAACTATCTCCAGAGTTTCCCATCCAATGGCCATTATTTCAACTACTTCCTACCCTATTAATTTGTGTCAGTGATGTCAGACGTAGTTGAGTTGTGGGGTTTTTTCATAAGGGCACTTACAGGTGCCAAGGCCTGAATTGCTTGTGGTGACAAACCTTGCTGCAAAGGGTTGCTGAGGTGTCCTGCAGCACTTGGCATTTCCAGTTGTGCTGCTGGCTTGATCCTTTTCTGTGGTACTAGGAAAACCAGGATAAACCATGGCTTTTTAATATTCTTTTACCATCAGATTCATCAGATTTCATAAAATGAAATAATATAAAAAAATTTTTAAAAATTAGCACATTTTTCAAATCTGTTTGATGATGGACTCTTCCAATCTTTGTATAATAGAGGATTAAATATTCACTGCAAGAGAAAACTTGAGAGAAATCCTTGCAAGCTGTTTCTGTGGTTGTTGCTGCTGTCCAACAGGGGTGCCTCGCTGTGGGGCTTCCCTGCATGAGCCCAACAAAGCCCTGAGGATTGAACTCAATGCAAATGCAAACTGCACCTGGCAAATCCAGAGGAATGCAAATCAAACAATTAGGATTGTTTTCTCCCATTTTAAGTAAGTATTTCCTACAGATGCTTTTGCACTTTTTCATTCCACTAGAATAAAGCACAGAAATGTATTGCCTCTAAATATCTCTCTCTGTTGAATCTGTGTTGTGCCCTCCAGTGAAACACAGAATGGT